AAATGTGCACAAAGGTAAATTTTGTTGGATATGTAAGCGAATGAAACACATTTAAAATCCACAGGCTCATGCTCACGGCCTGCTGTCTGCATAATATCTGCATGCTACACAGCAACATTTCTCTGTGTGTAAAAAGCAGTGAGTTTTTACAGCTTACAGAAGCCAAAGATTTCAGGAAATCCTGTTTGAGCTCTTTAAAACATTTTTATATGATTTCACAATCACGTTACATTTGCTGCCATCAGCAAAAATGATCTATGAAAACAATGCAGATGTCATCACTAGTAGTCATTAGTCTAGTGTGTATTTTGAACTATTTAGAACAGAAGAGCAGTGAAGCGGACTTTTTAATCCGTGCTTGTTTAGCTTTTTTTTTTTTTTTTAACTTTTTTCACCCGTGCTGTGTGAACAGAGCAAAAAAAACCAACAAAAAAAACCCCATCAGGGTCTTTATTTCATTTCATTTTTGAAATTCCTGCTACACAGTGGTTCAAACAGAGTGGGTGAATACACACGAGTCAGAGTGAATGTGCTAAAAGCAGGAGCTGAGACAGCAAACACTTTTAGCCATGGAATTTCTTGCTGTCAAAGAGGAAGGAAAAATAACAGCATGAAGGTTAGTCAGAGAGGGAATTATGCAGAAGCTGATATATATAAAGAAAAGCTAAAATCACGCTGTGACTGCGGCAGTTCTACTCAATAACTCATTTGACATTATGGCAGCATGCGAGGAGCTCAGCTTTAACGTGGATCACGGCTACCTGGAGGGTTTGGTTCGAGGAATGAAAGCTGGGATTCTGTGTCAGACTGATTATCATAATCTGGCCCAGTGTGACACACTAGAGGGTAAGCTTTTTGTATCACACATGTAATGTGTCATAATATGCAAATGTGCAATACCTGCAGTCTAAAAAATATTATGCACATGTGAGGGGGTGTTGGAAGCAATCTATCTATCTATCTATCTATCTATCTATCTATCTATCTATCTATCTATCTATCTATCTATCTATCTATCTATCTATCTATCTATCTATCTGTGATCAGTACCTTGTTTAACCTTTTCCTGCTTATTTGGAAATGGCAAACTAACAAGCAGTGGAGTATAAAACATTTGATTTGCCATGTCCTCTGCTCAGATATGAAGCTACACCTTCAGAGCACAGACTACGGTAAACTGCTGTCCTCGTCTGAGGGCGATTTGACTGTGTCGCTGCTGGACAGCAAGCTGAGGGAGAATCTGGTGACTGAATTCAGCTGCCTGCGCTCTAACGCCCTGCCACCCCTGTCTACCTTCCTTGACTATATAAGGTGCGCCTAGTCACTGCATGTGCTTTATTTATAGCTTGTGTCACAGGATTGTGCAGACGCACTTCAACAGCATCCTGCAGGTTAGCTGCTGCTGAGATTTTCAGCTAAAGAGGACAGTGTTTACGCAGACAGTGGAGACCTTGTGGCAAACGTGGCGAGGTCATCTTTATGTGATAAAACCTTCCTTCTGCAACACTCTTTGTGGTTTATAAAAATGGGATGAGCAGGAAACATTTTACAGGGTAAAAGGGATATTCAATTCATGTGGTCTCTGTGTTGCCATAGTTACAGCTACATGATCGACAATGTGGTGATGCTGATCACGGGGGCCCTGAAGAACAAAGATGTGTCAGAGCTGCTCCCACGGTGTCACCCACTGGGAGCGTTTGACCAAATGGCAGCCGTGGGTATTGCCCACACTCCAGCTGAACTGTACTCAGCCATCCTGGTGGACACACCACTAGGTAATCTCTGTTTTTGTTTTTTTAAATTTCTAATGGCGGCAAAGATGTATATTATTAATATTTAATTATCTTTTAGCTCTAATACACTTGTGAAAGACCATCATTGACTTAAATATCAATGAGTCACTAAAAACACTTTAGTTTAAACACTTTGCACTGATGCATGCAAAAAGAAAACAGGTCCTGCTCACTCATCCTGCTTCATTAACCACAGCTTACTGGAAGTGGTTTGCACACACAAGCTATTAATTTAGTCATTAGAGCATTATGAACCTTTCTGAGTACAGATACAATATTAAATGCCTCACATGACCTCATCAGACTGGATCTTTTTATCAGTTTATTACAGTGATATAACGTTTATTTCTAATGCATAGCATTAAGTGGAGCTCTGTCAACACTGAAATGTGTTATATTGTTATTACTCAAAGTATTAAAGTGCTATTCCAAAAACCAAATAACACCAAAAGGAAACAATAATGTTGTTATATTAGTTGTAGTAGAAGTATTAGGAGTAGTGGTGGGAGTGACAGTAGTTTCATATAATCTTAATGCAACAAAAGCAGTGATGAATATGTGTTTTGGATTCAACTTGTTCAGGCTGTGCCCGCTTCATAGTTCGATGACTCCCCAAATTAGAATTGGTTTTAACTTTTTTGTGTCCTTTTAGAGGTTCTCAAAGTGAGAAATCAAGATTTTTACTTATAAAAATGTAAAACTAAAAAGTCATTTCTTTCTTTAGGTGTTTTAGAAAATACAACTGTGGCGTCTTTTTGGTAAATTTCTGTAGCCTAACGTTTTAGGTGTCAAATGTCAAAGCCAGATTAGCACTAGTCATTAAAAGGCAATGCACGTTTCTGTTTTCTTTTATTTTTTCCTCCTTGGCTGTTAAATCCTCCTAATGTGTTCATAATACCTTCCAAGCAAGTTTGTGGACTGTTAGTTAGCAACAAGCCTAATAAGCTACTTCTGGTTTCTTTATTTTAGACTTCTCTGGCTCTCTGTTCCCTCAGCACAGCTAAAAATTAGTCAGTGCTAAAAATTTCAGAGTCATAGTTTACCAAAGCTAAGCATGAAGTAATGGGTGTGAGCAGGGATATAGTAAACACAGTTGTGACCATATGTTATTATTCTTCATGTCAGGAGCGGGCTTCCATTTTTAAGGTCTACTTTATAAAAATATTTACAACATACTGAGGGTTACTGTGTTGTTTTATTCTCGCCACAGGTCAGTTTTTCCAGGATGCCGTATCTGAGTGCAGCCTGGATGAGATGGAGGCTGAGATCCTGAGAAACAAACTGTATAAGGTGAGCAGAGCATGGCATAAGATGGCATGACTAACCTATCTCAGCTTTGACACCTGTGTTATAGTATTTGTGGACATGCTATAAATATGCAATAAATTCTTTACTGTAGTTTATACTACTGTGATAAACATGCTTAACAGCTGCACTTAAGTTTTACTGCTGTGTCTGAACGCGATCTGTTTTTCATGAAATTTGTGCTGATCTCGGTGCCTTTTGTTCTACCGCACAGGCATATTTGCAGTCTTTCCACTCTTTCTGCAAGAGCGTGGGCGGTGCCACAAAGGACGTAATGTGCCCTGTCCTGGAGGTACTCTGGCTTTCTATGATGCATTTAACTGAAGTCTTACAAACTACTTGAGATTTGTTTTGCTGTAAATGCCGTGCGCTTTTATGCGTGCTGCAGTTTGAAGCGGACCGGCGGGCCTTCATCATCACCGTGAACTCCTTTGGGACGGATCTCAGCAGTGCAGACAGGAGTGCGCTGTATCCATCCTGTGGCAAACTTTACCCTGGAGGACTGAAACTCCTGGCCCAGGCAGAGGACCACGAGCAGGTCAAGGCTGTGGCTGACTGCTACCCAGTGAGTTTGACCTCATGTCCTTTAAGATGCTGCACGGTTGTTATTGCACATTGAGTCAGACATGTGGTCAGTGTAAACTCAAATTTCCCTGCAGGACTATAAAATGGTTTTTGATGACCCTGAGCCTGGATCAGATTTTAAGACTCTTGAGGACCGATTCTTCGAACAAGAGGTAATAACGGCTTTGTTTTGAACTGTCACGGATTTCTTTCCCACTTTTCAACATTGTAAAAAACATTTGAACCAGGCTGACCATTCAGACTTTCAAATATGAAAATCTGACATACAGTCACCAGCCACTTTATTAGGTACACTCCACCTAGTTGGAGCTCCTTTTGTCTTCAGAGCTACTTGAATTTTTAGTAGCACAGATTCAGATTCACAGATGTGCTCTCCTAGAAGATGCTCTTCTGCACACCTTGGTTGTAACTTGGTTATCAGACTGTTGCATTCCTAGTTTAAAGCAGCCTGGCCATTGTCCCATGACTTCTAGCTTCTATGAGAACTGCAGCTCACTGGATATTTTCATGTTTTAGGCCTCTGTAAACCCCAGAGATGACTCTATCATGTTTAAAATCACGTTAATCACCTGCTGAAAGTATATATATTTGTAAGAAAGTACAGGTGATTAATTTAAATTTAGTATTAGTATGTACTTTTCTTGTTAGGCTGCCCTGACTGTAGATTCTTGCAGCTTACACATCTATCATTTTTCCAGGTGAAGCTGAACATACTTTCTTTCCTGCAGCAGTTCCACTTTGGAGTATTTTACTCTTACATCAAACTTAAGGAGCAGGAGAGTCGGAACATTGTGTGGATTGCCGAATGTGTCACACAAAGACAGAAGTCAAAGATACACAACTACATACCCATCTTCCAAAAGACCAGTTAACTAAGAAACAAGGATGTTTTACTACGTTTTAGTACGGATTAGTAAATGTGGTGGACCAAAGTGAGTCTTCAGCATCTTCACTGTTTGCACTACAAACCACAGCCTTGGTGTTACATTGTTATAGCACATCTGTTCCTCATGTGTATTGAGTTTCAAGACCTGATTGCTTACACCTCAAATTGTTTGAAAGAAATTACTCTTTTTAATTCCAGACTTTGTGTTAATAATTGTCCTGGTCACAAAACAAAGTCTGAAAGGAATGATATTCAATAAAAAGCTGGTTTCAGCCGCTCCCTCCTCACAATGCACTGACACAAATCTTTAAAAAAAATGTTTTTATTACTTGCTACAGTGAATGTGTTTACATTCACATTAATGGGATAATCAACGCACGTCTAAACAGGACAAAAGTGTCACAGGAGGTACAAGAATGTGTGACTACACAGTGGAGTACAACATAAAAGTACGAAGGCTTTTGGTACAAAGTGGTATAAAGAGTAAATCTGTCTGTTATAGCAGCTCACAGAGGTCAGAAACTGGCCATTTTTGCTCTTCATTAGCTTGTCCTTCCTTTACACTTTCACTAAAACAGGAACACACACACACACACACACACACACACACA